TTTTTTTAGATGGGGGTCTTGCTAAATTGCTCAAGTGGGCAGTCAACCTTCAATCCTCCTGCCTCAGCCTCCTGAGTAGCTGGGATTATAAATGCATTGATGCTTTCCTTTTAAAGTAAAGTTTTTTCTAAAATGTCCAACCTAGTCATTATACTTTTTATTAAAAAACTTCCTCCTTAACCTCTGAAGATTGATTCTGCACTATCACGTTTCAATAATGACACCTCAGAGGGGTTCTGTAGCCTCTGTTGGGTTTTGTTGTTTTTCTGGTTGTTCAAGTTGTAAGCTGTCCAACTGGAAGGATGAGAAGGAGGTGAGGGGCCAGGAGCAAGGCTCCTCAGAGCCACTGGGATGGCAAAAGCCTCATATACTTTGAGCAGGTGGTACATCTGAGCAGTGCTGTTGGTTGGTTGGTGTTCAGTCTGTGAGAAAAATTCTGAAATAAAAACTGTGCACCCAACTGGTGGCCACTTCTGTTCACTTGGACTTGCAAGTACCATACAAACCAGTCAGAAAATCCAGAGAGTAAAATTTGTAGGTTAAAAAAATGATGAGGCTGGAAGTGGTGCCACATGCCTATAATCCCAGCATCTCAGGAAGCAGAGACAGGAGGATCATGAGTTCAAAGACAGCCTTAGCAATTTAGCGAGGCACTAAGCAACTCAGTGAGACCCTGTCTCTAAGTAAGATACAATATAGGGCTGGGGATGTAGCTCAGTGATTGAGTGCCCTTGAGTTCAATTCCCAGTACTAAACAAAACAAAACAAACAAACCAAAAAAAAAAAAAACAGAAATAATGAGGATACCAAATGCTCCTTTTTGTCTTACTATATTTTAATTATTTCATGATATTTTGTCTTCTGGTTAAGAATATCAATACTGTAGTTCTGGGGACAGGAGTTGTGGCTCAGTGATACAGCACTTGCCCAGCATGTGTGAGGCACTGGGTTCCCATTCTCAGCATAGTGCATAAATAAATAAACAAGGTTCATTGTCAAGGCTCATTAAAACTATATTAATGGTCTTTACTAACTTAGAAGCAATAGGCCAGAAGTTTCTTACAAGCAATCAACCAAACCTATTGCTTCATACTTTGGAGTTTATATAATGTGTCACTCCTTTGACAGCGTCTTGTTTCCCAGGAATGTTTTCAAAAGCTTCTCTTATATCAGAGCTCCAACTCTTAGGAAATCAGTGGCAGCAGCCACACTAACAATCATTCTGAAATAAAAACTGTGCATCCAACTGACATCCATCAGACTTAGGCCAACCCAGGATCCTGAAATCAACTCCAGTTTGTAACTGTGTATGTCTGGATCCTTGCAGTCAGACCAGATTGAAACCAATCAGTGAATGTCTACAGATGTTCTGTTCTTAATGAAATTCCTCAGAATAATTCTAGGGCTCCCAGCTCCCAGCAGCTTTAAGGTTATTCTTCAGGATGTGACTGGGGAACATT